TAAAAACACGTTAGAACTATGCAGTTTGTTATCAGGCCGGTAAATTAAAACCTTTCATGCAGCCAAATGTCACCTGATTATATTTTCTCTACGCGCGTGGTCCGCATAATTGCACAGCGAGACGTATTTACGAGCATAGAAGCATGATTCTGCTTTTCTTTCCGTGGTCGGCTATCCAAGTTGGCTGATCGAAAGTGTGCTCTGGCGTCCGACGATACTGTATGGTGCAACTGAATTGCTTTTGGGTCCCTTCAGTCGTACGCCCTGGACGTCAACTGCGACACAGTTGTACCGTGGCCCATTGGGCCGGTCCCACTGCCTGCGTTCGAGAACGACCAGCGAGGAGGTAACGCTGCCTGTGCCGCAGTGCCCTGCTGAGCTCAGTAGGACGCGCTGTCTGCCAACGACACGGACTGAGGACGCTTGTGATTATTGGGGAGGACACAGACAGCAGTCTTCCGGGAATTTTTTCATATGGGATGTGTCATTAATGTGACATTGATGACATCCCATGTTTGTAGCTGCCTCTCGCACGTCCTTGTCAGCGTGATCACGGTTTGTGCTAAGAACGGTTATGAACGCTATTGGTTACCTCTCGAGCACCACACGTCTTTGAATGGACACGAGCTTTTGACTCATTACAACGCCGGCCGGTCGCCACGATGCTCTGTTTGTAAATGTATTGTCTGTTTTTTTTTTGATAATCACCCGTGAAGAATATAGATGAGACCGAGCCGAGTGAAGTTACTGGAATCACGCCGCTGGATGTCGCATTATCAGTTGTTGGGCCGCTACGCTTTGCTTGCGCTTTAAGCTGTCACTTCACTCGGCATCTCTGCTGTGTGCGGAACCATGCTCTTCAGTGAACTTTGTGCACAACCCGGTCGATCGATATATAGCCGGAGACGTTTACTCGCTGTTACATCGAAAATAAATGCAACATTATCGGTCAAAAGCATTTTATTGCCGACTATGCTGAAGCAGAGTGGAGTGCCGCCGCCTGCCTGGAGACTTTTACACGTAGAATGCCACGATGTATTGTGCGAGGCTGAGCAAATGATAGGTCCGCGCCAGGCTGGCCCTCCTGGCAATGCTCTCACTGGGTTATCTTGAAGCAGGCACGCGCCTGGCGTTGATCTGTGTGCGTGACAAGCTGCATTGCTCAACCCGTCGCCTTCGTTGCATGGGGTCCATCTCAGCATGCTGGCTGTTAATACGGCCATGTCCTATCAGCATGCGCCGATAGTCCCGCATGTTTCTCTGCCGGTTCATGTGGACTCGCGTGCTAGAAAATGAGGACCACTGTAATACCGGGCAAGCTGACTGTTCTGTTTTCGCGAATCTTGTGGACGAGTGTCGTCCACGTAGACCGGGGATGGCCAAGTACGGTAAAGATGAACATCGCACGCCGCTTGCGTGCACATTGGGATCTGGAATGCGGCTGGAGGCGTGTTCACCGAACAGGCAGTTATTACCGGAGCTGATCATGCCGTGGCAGTCCGGGTTGCCGGCGTGCAGCCATCATCTGAGCGGTGAGTTGGTCGGCACCCTTCCCGCTGCCGCCCGCCGCACGCTGCTGCTCGCCTGAAAGCTCTCACTGTCTGTTGCACGAGCTGTCTGCTTCGTAGCGTATCGGTCATGAGTGCGCCCGCTAGACGAGACTTCTCAAAACGGCGATGACGAAGGCAGTAGACAGCTCCAGTGTCTTGGTCACCGCGTGTACACGGCAGCCCGGTCCGGACGAGCTCTGCTGTCGGTGCGTGCAGTCGAAGCTCGTGCCTCACAGCCAACCCGGTCCATCGTCAGCCGGGTCCGAGTTCCGCGGCTTCTTCCTACGGGACGACAGACCGCAGCTGCCGGAGGGCCCGGAGGGCGTGGCCCCTCGTCTGGCGCCGCCGCCCCTCGGCTTCAGAGGTGCCGAGCAGGGCGCACCGGCGGCCGACGGCCGGGAGGACGAGGAGAGCAAGGACGACCAGGACGACGACGGTGAGAGACGTGGAGCATGTCATTAACGTGGTGGCGAGGAGCCAGCGGTGAAATAACAGGGTAAATAGGCCACCTGGACTGACTTTAGTGTGTGACAGGTACCAGGGAGCAAGTGGTGGCGGCGTCAGGGTGCAAAGCTATCTACTCACGTTCTAAGCATGCGTTTTGGCATATCGCGGATTTCAGTTGTCAACACAGTCCATTACTGAATCACATGGGTTCCGCAGCATTATCCCCAGCCGACGACATGTTATTCTGTCCGTGTCCCAACCCACTGCTTTGCCCGTCGCACGCCACTCGGGGAGCGGCTATATCACTACTTCGACGCCACTAACTGCCAGCGACGTCACCCGCGCTCAAGCACCGCACCTTCCGGCGCTGAGCGGCGCCCGGTCCTCGACTCTGGCACCGGCTCACACCGCACTGAGCCGCCTCTGCGGCGTCGCTCACACGTCGTGGCCTGCTCCGCCGCAGGGCCCGTCTGTCCGATGTGCCTGGACAGGCTGCGCAAGGAGGACTTCAGCCACTACTTCTGCCTGTACGGGCGGGTGCTGGTGGCGACGCTGACAGAGGAGGGCACGCTCCATTACCGCTCCTCCTGGGCTCTGGAGGGCAAGCCCACGCGGCTCGGGGTCCAGCAGCCAATCGCCATGACTGACGGTTGCGGCTGCGTCCTTGACACGGGTGAGCTGCCTCGCGCCAGTGGCTGCTAAGCCCGCGTGCGGCGCACTCGGCCGCCACCGCTGTCGCTGGCTGCGTGAGCTGTCTTCACCGACCGCGTGTGCTGTCGCCGGCTGTGTGAGCTGTTTTCACCGACCGCGTGTGCTGTCGCCCGCTTCTTGAGCTGTCTTCACCGACCGCGTGTGCTGTCGCCGGCTGTGTAGGCTGTCTTCACCGACCGCGTGTGCTGTCGCCCGATTTGTGGCAGGTTGCATGTGAGATGTTTGACTCTGCCGGCGTGACAGTCCTCATGGTTGACGGCGTGGTCTTACGGCGCACCCGTCTAAGCTGTTACTGCTTCCGTCCCTGTGCGGCCCTGTTCCCATCTGGCAACTCCCTCTACGGGTGTGGGCGGTCGCTCTATGCTAACGTGGCTCCGTCGCCACCCACCCTGTGTGTGCAGGGAGGCCGCTGTACGTGTTCGGCATGACGGAGGACCAGCTGGAGCAGTCACTGTTGCCGCTGACCGACGAGCACGTGCTGGCGGCGGCTCCTGGCACCGTGCAGCTCCGCAAGCGTCAGGTGGAGCTGGCTCGCGAAAGGGGCTGCCAGTAAAGCTCGACAGGCTGCCGGTGATGACCCGCGGGGCTGCCGGTGATGACCCGAGGGTCTGCCGGTAATGACCCGCGGCGCTGCCGGTGATGACCCGCGGGGCTGCCGGTGATGACCCGCGGGGCTGCCGGTGATGACGCGAGGGGCTGTCGGTGATGACGCGAAGGACTGCCAGTGATGACCCGAGGGTCTGCCGGTGATGACCCGCGGGTCTGCCGGTGATGACCCGCGGGGCTGCCGGTGATGACCCGCGGGACTGCCGGTGATGACCCACGGGGCTGCCGGTGATGACCCGCGGGGCTACCGGTGATGACCCGAGCTGCTGCAGGCTTTCGCTGCGTCGGGCACCGGAGCCGCGCGACTGTCACGTGTGCTGATGGGCGTGTTTTGCATCGTTCATGGGAGGCTATACTGTCACGGTGCAATGTCCCGCCGCTGTGTACTGGCACATGCTGGTCCCGCGCGAGTTCGACGTCATGTTCACATTTTGCTCGACGGTGTTCCATAATATATGCATTACTATCATTTGCTGTGGCGGGTTATGACAACATCCCGCTGAAAATACTGCTGACTGGTTATGTCACTTGGGGAATCTTCTTTGCTTAGGGGACCTGAGATCTGAAGAGACACCCACCACTCACAGCACAATATTCCACGCAAATTAAACTGCCGCCCAGACTGCAGAAATGTGCATTGCAAGAAAACATTAGCACTTCCGTATCGTAACGAAAAGCCAAGTTTATCTAAAAATTATAAAAAAAAAACACTTACATGCAGATCACACTGGTATATCAGTCAATATCAAATTGTGACGAATCATCTGCTAGGGCCACGATGGCAGCGTGCGGGGTTCTACTTTGCCGGCGGCCTGAGGTGATGAACTCGCCGCACCCAGCAAACCACAAGAGCAAAGAATACCTGATAATATACCACCCTCTACTGCTGCCAGAGCCAAGGACTTTTGTGAACTTGGGTGGAAATGTCACTAAGATTGGTCATGGTATAGTCACGACTAGGCAATCAAATCATATCACGCTCTGCAGTTAAAAGCATCTGGTGTAAATGAGCACCCATTGTCTTTGTGAGGAGTGTATTGACCATCACACGCGTGACGCAGGGTTCCACACTGCTGCGCGCCGGCCATACGTCACCGCGCGCCGGCCATACGTCACCGCGCGCCAGCCACACGTCGCCGCGTGCCAGTCACACGCCACCGCGTGCCAGCCACACGTCACCGCGCGCCAGCCACACGCCACCGCGTGCCAGCCACACGTCACCGCGCGCCAGCCAAACGTCACCGCGCGCCAGCCACACGTCACCGCGTGCCAGCCACACGTCACCGCGCGCCAGCCACACGTCACCGCGTGCCAGCCACACGTCGGATGAGAGGTGATGAAATGGGACGGCCGGCGCTACGTTCACGGCTTCCAAAGTCGCAGCAGGCCGTCCTCGCTAAAGGTGCAGATCAGGTTCTGGTGGGGATGGTGCGTCACATTGATGACGTCCTTCTCGTGCACCTGCGGCGGCAAGAGCGGTCACTGACGGGTTTGGCAGCGGCCAGAGGGTCCCTGACGGGGCTGGCTTCGGCCAGGGGGTCGCTGACGGGTTTGGCAGCGGCCAGAGGGTCGCTGACGGGGCTGGCTTCGGTCGGAGGGTCGCCGACAGGGCTGGCTGCCTCGATGGCACGCCGAGGCGGTTCGTCGGGAAGCTCTGTCACGTAGCCCGGCTGGATGTTTGGTAACGCAAATGGAAGCAATGGCGCATCCGTGCCCTACGAGGAAATGGCTTAGTCTTCAAGTCAATGCAATCTGAGGCGTCCCGATGCATCGGTGCCTTTCAGACTCGCCGCATATGAAACCACACCGAACGACACGGCAGCGGCTGCGATGAATAAGTGGGATCCAACCCGTCAACGCACACCCCACCCCTCCCACAAATAGCAAATTATAATCCCACGTTGCTGGGCCCTGCGTCATAGCAGCGCATGAGGCGACACGCCGCTTACGTTGAGCGTCCTCTCCAGCTTGCCCGAGGTGGTGGACAGGCAGTATAGCACCAGATCCTCGCCCACTGCGTAGATCCAGTCGCCGTGCGGCGACACCACCGAGCAGACCAGGTCGCCGCCCTCACGCTTGCCCGTGCTGAACGAGCGTACCGTCTGCCGAGGCCAGAACAGACCCGCCTGAGTCGCCGCCCACTTCAAGTGGGAGAGGGAGGACACATCGCAACAACGCCGTCCACACTGCTGACGGGGCGGGGGGGCGGGGGGCGGCGGACCCCTCCAAAACAGGATGTTTCCGAAGCAGCGGTCGCGAGACAGACCGGCGCTAGGTGAAACTTGCGTATATGGGGAAGACTTCAGCTGCCCAGGCTAGTCAACCGTAACACAACTCACGAGGTAATATCTTTGCAGCTAATGGCAGCAGCTTAACACGGTTTTCAGCGACAAGAACATCATTTCGTTTTAAATTTGTCCCGTAAACTTCAATGCATTTGTTAGCAAGCTGATCAAAAGCGATATTTATGCAGTTTCACGATACAAACCATATATAGACTTCCCAATCAGATCAACATAAAACACGTCGGGCTTGTACTGACACACACCTTTCGTCTACAAGATGTAGGCTGGCGTCTGTGGCGGGTCACGCGCGCCCAAGCGCGAACCACTGATCTTTGCAGTGCTCGTGCCCGACTTTGACAGTCGACGCACGCCGAGACATGGAACAAGTCGTGCTCAGCGGCTGACTGCACCGTCCAAAGCACAGCTACCACATCTCGGCGTCGAGCGCGCGCAGCCAATTTATGTCTTCTTCAAAACGCACTTTTAATGTAAACGATGCGCCTGAATGAAAACATCGCGGCATGAGCGCTTCACTAGCGCGTGACCCAGTTCACCACAAGGCAAACACAGCTGAGGTATTTTCGGTTTTCCGCTGCCTTGCTCACCATAATTGCAAACGCCATAAATGCCGACCGCAAAGGATTTTACTTCCGAGCAATTTGCAGACGACGACACCGTGCTTGTGACAAAGATCGCGCCTCTGTCGCCCTTCTCCCCTCACGATCGTGTCTCTGCCGCCCCTATCCCGTACTGACCGGCGTCTCTGCCGCCCCTCTCACCTACCGACCGGCGTCTCTCCCCGTTGCCCTACCTGTCCGGTCATGTTCATGATGACGATGGTGCTGGAGCGGTTGCAGACGACAAAGTGCTCGGGGTTCTTGGGCAACAGCGCCACTGCGTTGACGTGGCACTCCTCGCAGCTGACGCCGCCCAGCGGCTTCAGCGTGTTGATGCACTCGGTGGTCTTGACGTTCCAGATCTTGACAGTGCCGTCCGAAGACCCGCTGTGGACGGACAGCATCGAGGTCGGCGGTCGGAGGTCGCGGGCAGGCGGGGCCGACCGCGACGGGGGAACGCACGGCCGGACTCCGACCCGGGCGCGTGCGACTCGCGCACGTCGAGATGCGCGCTCGACGCGGCGGGGGATCCAAAGGGGATCAAGTTGGATACGGGGGGGGGGGGGGGGGGAACTAAACACGTGCCGGCGGCGCGGACGGGCCGGCGGTCAGCGGCGGCCACAGTCACGCGGTGAGGAAGCTCGACGCATTGGAAAACCATCGCATCTGAAGACGAATCCAGATAGCAGACGAGCTCGACAGGCCGGTGCAGTCCTACCGCAGGCTGCACGACACAGGGCAGCATACATAACATCAGGACAAATACACTGAGGACTGTCATCATAACCTACCGCAGGCTGCATGACACAGGGCAGCATACATAACATCAGGACAAATACGCTGAAGACCGTCATCATAACCTACCGCAGGCTGCATGACACAGGGCAGCATACATAACATCAGTACAAATACGCTGAAGACCGTCATCATAACCTACCGCAAGCTGCATGACATAGGGCAGCGTGCCTAACGTCAGGACAAATACACCGAAGACTGTGACCATAACGCGATCAGTTGTAGACTATGCAAGTCTGCTTATTTGACGGCCAGCGACTTGAGCTACAGTCAGTCCAAACAACCCCGCACGCCGGTCGTGTGCACGTATATCCGCTCTGGTAGAATAGCACGTAATACGTCGGTAAACGACAGCGACCCGTCGACCCTGCGCCCCAAGCTGACCTGATCACGCAGTGTCCGTCCACACTGAATGTAGCGCTGTTGACGAACGAGGTATGCCCGCGGAACTCCTTCAGCGTCTTGCCCGACTTCAGACCGTGAATGCTGCAACGTACCACAGTCGAAATGAGATAAACAGTTTTCCGCTCAAGTGAAAAATCGTCTTACAACCTTTCCTTAACCGTCTTTGCACCTCAACCTAACTTCAATGGCTACACAGTATATGCGCAATTCAGACTTTAAAGCCTTACATCGTATGACTTTCAAACATTAATTGGGTGACGAAAGTCAAATTTACATGATGCTTGATCCCGGATGACACAGCCTCTAAACAAAAACGGAACGGTAATTAACTTCGGAGTGATACGGCTTTGCAAAATAATATAAAAAGTCAAGAAAGCATTTCCTGATAGAGCCAAACGCTGTTTGTCATTTATAAGCGGCATGGCACCGATATGACCTCGAAAAAGGTCATAGGCTATGACTTGTCAAGGTCAGATATTTTCAACATATACATGTGTAAAACTATGTAAACTGAGCTAGCTATAATTTTAAACGCGTGCTGAAACCCATTTACACATGATTCCGGCACATTTGTCGGGCGCGGGGTAATACGTGCCGCTGGTAAGTGTATGATAAGAATGATTTCGGCACACTTCATGCTGGGCAGCAAACTCCGTATTCAGCTGACGTTTGTTGTCTATCCAAATTGATTTCACAGCTTGAGCGCGACAAGGCGATAAAAATACTCCGAACGGTGAACAATTTCCGGCGTTTAGTTTCTGTTCCCACTTCTGGACAAGCGGATGTCGTATTGTCATTTCATTTCATTCCCGGTAGACGTGACCGAAATTCGAAATCACCGCTCGGTCACGGCCGGTGATTTCTCCTTATTGCGTGTTAAACTGGATTAAATTGGTTGGATGACAAAATACAGCATTTGTACGTGCTGGACACTTGACGCAGTACCACGCAGCATCGGCAACAACAGAAAAGCGAAGATCTGTTGAGACTGAGCTGATTTAGACCGCGACGGCGTACATCACGCGCAAAAAATCGCTTCAAGGGAAACTCCACGCTGCCCAACAATCCCTTCAGCATCCAACTAGCGTGATACACAACCAACGTCATTCCACTAGCCGACCATAACACATTAACACATTTCGCCCGGCCCGATAAACGCCCCCGACCCCGCGGGGGGGGGGGGGTGGGGTGTTCACCAGGAGGGCGCCCGCCGCTCGTCACCGTTCCGGCCCCCACCGTAGCGTGTTGTCGAAGGACGTGCTCAGCAGCTGACTGTTGTCACGCGAGAACTGCATACTCGTCACGCCCTTGGTGTGCGCCCGCTCGAACTTGCGCAGGCACTGGCCGGTGGCGATCTTCCAGACCTTGACGCGGCCCTCCTGGCTGCCAGAGGCCAGCATCTCCGAGTCGCGGCTGAAGGCCAGCGACAGGCACGCCTCCTCCATCAGCATGAAGTTGTCCTGCGGCCGCGGGCGGCGGTGATATCAGGCGTATCAGGCATCGGGGTCGCGGGTGTCGGTGGCGGAACACGCGCCACGCTCGCCGGCCGCGGGTCAGGGTCGCGACATGGGGCCACTGACGTGAACTAGGGTCACGTCCAGGGGTCGCGAGACAGGGTTACGGTGATGGGGTTACGGGTCACGGTAACCAGCCATGAGTCGCGAGTCAGGGTCAGCCTGATACATCGGATGTCACGTCACGGTCACAGGCCAAAGCCGTAAAAAGGTCACAGGCCGGACACGGACAGCTCCGGGCCACCGAATGGACCGCACGCCCGTCCAGTCACAGACGCTGGGAGGGCAATATCACTTAACAACGTCATCCGTTTACAACAGCGCGGCACGCTTACGCCCCACAGAATGAAAGCCCAGCACACACCACGCTACTGCCTGCCATGCCTCACGGCGAATGCACTGGTGTCACAAAACGTTGCCTCTCCGGCTACTGACGTCATCACACCCCACCTCGGCTGCGGCAAACAACTCAGTCGCCCCACAGGGGGGCCATGGCGGCGCGTCCCACCTGCGCCTGGTACTTGAGGTCCTTCCTGATCTTGCCCGTGGTGAAGTTCCAGACCTCGATGAAGCCATCCACGGTGCCGGTCACCAGGTACTGGCCGTCCGGCGAGAAGGCTGCGGCGCAGGCGCAGGTCACCAGTGGGACACGGCCGGCCGCTACCGGCGGGCCGACCAGCGCCGGGTGGCACCCTGCACCACAGCCGTCCCCCGGCACCAGCGAACACACTTTCCAAACAAAATGCGGCCGCAGCAATGGCGGCGACGTAGCAAATGCCTTGCTGTTGCCACTAAATATTTTACGCCAATTAAAGCCCCAATGAGGTCGGTGACATCCGCGAAATCCAGCTGCATCTGTGCGTGGCTGCGTCGGCTGCGCGCGGCGCTGCCGCAAGCCGGTAACAATAGCAGGGAGGGCCCCCCCCCGCCACTCCTTCAAACACCCCACAGACGCTAACGCAAACAATGCCATCACGGCGGCCCCAGCGGGCCTTGCCCATCGTCAGCACGCGCCACATGGTAATGTATCGCCTCTGCGGCCGTGACGAAGCCGCCGTCTACCGAGCGGGCACCCACCGGCGCACTCGGGGTGCGTCTTGCGGAACTTGATCTGCTTGGAGAGCTGCGTGGGGTAGGTCTCCTCCTCCTGTTCACGAATGGCGGCCTTGCCTCGGAACAAATCGATCTGGGTGCCTGTCGGCGAGGGGGCGTCACACACGGCAGCCTTCCCCCCACCAGCCCTGACCGCGCCCGCACACGAGTCTGGCCCGAGATCAGTCCCCAGAGCAGGACAGCCGCGGGCAGCAGCAGCGCGGCGAGCACCCCGTCCCCGCGCCTGCACGGTAACCTCATCCACTCCACCACCCTACCTCCACACTTGCGCTGTACCCACACCCACTCCACCACCCTACCTCCACACTTGCACTGTACCCACACCCACTCCACCACCCTACCTCCACACTTGCACTGTACCCACAACCACTCCACCACAAGGCCGCCGCGCCTATAATGTCCCTCCCCAAACACGCACCCCCTCCCCCCTCATGCCTGCACTGTCCCCATCCACCACCCCAGTCCCACACCCGCACTGTTCCCATATCCCCTTCAACACCACACGCCAACGCCTGCCCCCCTCCCCCACCCCAATGATGTCGCCGCCGAGGCGCATCGTCGGCAGGCCACCCACCGGGCGGCAGGAGGCCCTGGTGCTGCTGCCACTTCATGGCCTGGCCGAGCAGCGCCAGCAGGCGACTGGGCGGCACCACCGATACCTCGCCGGCCAGCGCCTGCGCGATAGCCGCCCGGCGCCGCTCCTTGCTCGAGCCGTCCGGGTACGCCTCGCGCGGGTCGAAGTAGGAGCGCGCCAGCAGGTTCTCTAGCAGAGGCGGCGGGGGGGGGGGGGCGGTCACGGGGCGGGGCACCAGTGGAGCAGGCGAGCCGGTAGTGTGTGCGTGGGGGGGGGGGGGGGAGTCGGTGGTGCGCGTCACTCTCGGTGAATCTGACACTGGTTAAGATCCGGTGCACTGTGACTCTACAAACATTTGTTTGGAACACCATATCAAACCACAGGGACGTGACTGACCACATTTCGTCGTTACAGCGATCTTCAAGCGCATCAATCGCTTTCGAGGCATCCGTTACAGCAGCCGCAGCAGAAACAAACGACTGCTGAGCCTGATCGCCAAGAACACGCTACCAGCTGCCCCACGCGGCACACCCCGGCCCGGTGCAGCGGTGCTTGACGACTGACACCGCCGTGGTGCTTGACACCTAACACGGCGGCCATGAAGGGCACAAAGTTCACCGCCTTGCAGCGGCCGCTACCTCTCCCCGCCGGCCCGTGACGGCGCCGGGCCCGAGCCCAGCCCGGCCGGACGACGGCGGCCTTACCCAGATGCACGTATCTGTCCGCCTCGTGCTGCTTGAGCATTATCATGGGGTCCGTGTTGCGGAGTAGTGAGCGCGCTGCACCCAGCTCGCGCAGCTCTATCAGCTCCAGCACCACCTGCAGCGGCGGCCGGTGTGTCAGGTCCGGCCCGCCGCCTCGACCGCCGGCGGGCCGGCGCGCCGCCGTAACGCACAGTCATCCACCTCGCCGCCGTCACCGCAGGCGCGCCGTCACAACACACAGGACATGCATCAGAACTCGACAACACACACAGCGCAGTGATCGAACGGTCCCAGCACGTATCGGGCAGTGGTCGAACCGTCAAAGCACGTACGGGAGTGATCGAACCGTCACAGCACGTACCGGACAGTGATCGAACCGTCAGAGCACGTACCGGACAGTGATCGAACCGCCCCAGCACGTACCGGGCAGTGATCGAACCGTCACAGCACGTACCGGGCAGTGATCGAACCGTCACAGCACGTACCGGAGTGATTGAACCGTCACAACACGTACTGGACAGTGATTGAACCGTCACAGCGCGTACCGGACAGCGATCGAACCGCCCCAGCACGTACCGGGCAGTGATCGAACCCTCACAGCACGTACCGGACAGTGAGCAAACCGTCACAGCACGCACCGGGTAGTGACCAGACCGTCAGAACACGCGCGGAGCTGGAAGGTTTGCTCGTCATTGCAAGCGCATAGTGGGAACAAGCCCGCCACAACACACACACACCACGTCACCAGAGATGCCAGAGATAGCGGCGTGGCGGCTGGCGGACGGCAGCGGCCGCCTACCTCTGCGCCATACTGCGGCACGGCGGCGGGCCGCGAGCCGCAGTATGGCGCGGCGACGGGCCGCGTGCCGCAGCCCTTCTGCATCAGCACCAGTCGCAAGCACGCCGCCCGCAGTCCCGTGCTGCGCTCGGGTTTAACAGGGCGGTAATTGGAAGCGTTTCCGCGACGCACTGTTCCACAGTTCAACAGAGCATCTCCCCATACCCCGCTATCACAGCAGTAGCTGCGCTTTGCGTTGGCGTCCTCTGGACGGGCCTCACCTGTTCGTAGAGATCGATGAGTTTTTTATCTGGCAGTTTGAGGGACTGTATGGCCTTGAGAACGGTGTCCCAGTGACCGTTGTTGATGTCTGCCACGAAGCTGTCCACCGAATCCACGGTGTTTAGTGATGTCGTTGTCTCTTCCTGCACCAGGAACACAAAGCCGATATTGAATGAGCCGCTGTGTGCCACGACTCAACAGCCCACCACACGAAGGACAATACATATCACACCCAGGCAAAGTTGCGCACTTCTGATTCGAACAAGGCGTATAATTTTACCCGCGTCCGATTGTACTGTGCTGACTGACCGACTATCGCGGCTATATTGACGGACAACATATAACATACAGATACACATACATGGTAGGCAGATACAAGTCAAAATTGAAGCACCTGCAAAAAAAAAAATTGTGCGCATAAACAAATGAATTTATGGTCAAATGTACCCAAGATCAGAGGCACAGCAAGATTTGGGACCAAGAAAAGCATATTACCTGCAGCGTCTGAAGTGTGCGCATCAGGTTGTTCTCCTTCAGATACTGCTGAATAAGTCGCACAACGCTGAAAGTAAAAACGGCGTCGGTAAACAACGTCTAAATCTCCTTTACTTTCTCCGGGGTCTTGCTGGCGACACCAGCCTTTAAGTCCAGAAGCTCTGGGTTCGAGTCAAACCGCATAAATTGCATTGGTCCCGTACGAATAACGCCACACGCCAAGTAACCAGGGGTTCACTTTGTCAGGAATCAGCTGGTTGTAACATGCACAGGTAGAAAATGACATCTCTCCATGATCCTTTTTGGCTGAATCTGCCAGCGGTCTGAATGCCGTTTTCATACCCACCACACTTCTTGGATGGCAGGTTCAAGAAGCAGCAACGGTATTTAAAGAAAAAAACAGTGAACGGTGCAACAACGGGTAAGGTGCAGCACAACTATACCAGCCGCGACCATCTCTGAGCTACCAGCACTGTCATCACACTGCCACTTGGATGAGCGGTTTAGCTAGCGGCCGGTGGCCGGCTGAACTCGACGCGCTTTGATGGGGCTGGGAACTGAGGCAAAAGCAAGTGAGGAGGCGAGAGAAGTGAGGCCCGTCAGAACTCAAAAATTAAGGGAGCTAGAAACACCACATTCACACATTAGACAAGTTTGTATGTGAGCCCACTTGTGTCAAATTTTGAGGATCTCAGGTGCTTCTGGCCTTCCTTTGCATAACATAAGGTCAAACATGCTCCAACCCCAATAAATGTCTGAAGTCCCCTTAGACCTCCTCACCCAGCCACCCTAAACTGTAACACCTCTACTAAGCAAAAGGCCACTGGTGTTCATTCCAGGTCAGTGGCCTTATTTTTCCTTCAGAAGGTCACAGTGACCACAAACCTACGAGGTAGTCGTAAATTTTCATTTAAAGATGCTAATGCTCAATGATACATTCCCCCAAACACAATGTTGGTCAGGGTTATTTTATGTCAGTGACAAAACCATCCCAAAATATCTGTTTTTTTGCACTCTGTTATCGTATCGGATCGAGCTATTTTCCAACAATTGTCTTTCCTAGAGGCAATGGCCTTTGGCCTGTCATAGGTCCGCGATCTAACGAGGTACATCTATCTTTATACTTAAAGATCAGTTGTTGCATTTCCTACAGGAATAGGAAGTTCAGCGCAGCTACGTTGCGCTAGTCGGGAGTTATTTTGAGAAAGTTACAGGGTCAATTGACCCACCACATGAGCATTTGTAGAGGTACAACAGGTATCACTCCGCAGCTCTGAGTTACATGTCACTCATTCAGGGCAATCCAAACAAGTGAATGACAGCATTAAATGGGTCTAGTGGCAATTATCTTATTGTGTGACAGGTTAAGAGTGCATTTGAGCTGGCTCACAGGAACAAATATACTCAGTTGCTGAGAAGTAGAATTGTGCACACACAAGACTTCATTACAGTCCAGACCATGCAGTACTACCCACCTCATAATTTGAAGCATATAACATCTGAAACTGGGGTATCAAAAACAATGTCAGATGAAGCAGCTCATCACTTGAAGCAATCATGTCTCAATGTGAGACAGCAAAAACAGTTGTCAGATGAAACACTTCCTGAGTGGGGTTAAAAGTACAACTATGGTCTAACAGTTGTTGCAGAGAAGCATATGCATAATACATCTTAAGAGAAGGCATCTGAAATGTATATTGTGTGCCCAACCTATCTTGAAAAGTAACATGCATCTTAAAAATATGCTTCTCAAACTCAATATGACTTTTAGAAATGCAACCAGGTGATAGTGTTGACTAATTTGAAACATACTGATAAATGGCAGACTAGCCAGGGGGAGCTTTTGGGGCTTTGATCAGCATATTAGCACAACCTCTATCTGTTCTGGGGCGATATTTTAGAAGCTAACTGCACTGACAATGGCACATTTCCTAAGAAGTAGATCTTTAAATGACAGCAAACATCAATGCTAGTCATCAGACAACAATAGTTGATCTGATGAAATGGATGGCAAAAACCATTGATGCATAATATACAAATACATACAAGGTATATATCTGAACACTTTCCAATGTTTCAAGACCTGAAAGCTGAATAATATTGATATTTTGTTTTTGTACCAATGCAAAAAGCCTACATAACACACATGCTGAGCACCCTTAAAAGTCTATAGAAATGATCTCATATTTGTGCTTTTTTACTCCATTTCAATCGAGCTGATGGCAGCTAAATCTATCTCCCCATTGCTAGTAGACATTCGTGTGAAATGAGTGGACATTTGGATAGGTGGGCATCACATATTTATGTGGATTACATATTTGACCATGGGTGAGCTATGAATGTGTGGGGAATGGTTGAATGTGGATGGGCAATCTGATCATTAAGATCCTTCAAGAGTGCTATGTCTGCAGCTGTTGCAGCTCAAGGCTAGAGATGAGGGATGTAGTTTCCCACTATTTGGGGAAACAGCCTACCATCCTTGATATGAAAGTCAGCCCATGGAGGATCCATGTAGAAAAAGAGCTATTTGGGTAGGTTTTACAATGTTTCCCTGCTTAGCTCCCTCTCACCCCCCCCCCCCCCCCTCACACTCTGAACTTGTATGCAAAACTAAACCTCTTGTGATGTTATGCCTGAAGACATTTCTAGTTCAAGTAAGACATGCAAGATAGGGGTGTAGTTAGACAATGGGAGTTAGGGGGGGGGGGGGCTGGGCAGTGACCAATGGTCAAACCTACCCACAAAGTATGCCATCAAACATTGTTCTTCATACATCTGGCCCACTCTCTTCTAAAAAATGAGGGAGCTGGAGCACAAATAAATAGGAAATGATGCACCTAATGACAGAAATATGAGCTTTCTTTAACAGTGAACAGTTTCACAACTAGCATTTTAATTCCACTGCATGCAGATGTGATTAAATATAGGTAAACATTAATATCTCTACCAATTTATATCCTCAATTTTATATACGTTTTCCTCAAACCATGGATTCTGAAGCATGATCTTGTACACGTCTCTTCAACACCCACTGCATAACTGCTGTTGATAGCCCATCAATGAATACTCAATATGAATATGCTCAACAATGCTCAATATGAACATGAAAGTGCCATTTGCCAAGAACACTGGCTAAACCAGCACCTAGCTCAGCCTTCCCGCCCCCCCCCCCCCCCAAGTACATGCAAAAGGTACCATTACTAAGATGACTCCCTTTATATATAACGGGTAATCCATGTGCTATTGTATGCTCCCCACATCATACTAGTTTCATACTGGTGCACATTATCACAAAAATCTGCACTTAGTGATGTTTCATCACTAAGGCACATGTTCATTACAATTTCCTGCACCACTGTGTTTCCTGCACTACCATATCAATTGCATGTTGGTGCACATTGGCACTTAAAACAGCATTCTCTGATGTTTCATCATTGAGCTGATAAGGAATAGAAGGGGTTGCTCTCACAAGCATGGGCTTGGTCATGCAAATAATTAACTTATTTACAAATGTTGTGCCATAGGTATTCCCTTTGCCATTGCACACAGCTCCCCATGGCAAGGTGAATAGGGCATAACTAATGGTCATGGCCATAAATGTCATGTATCATAATAATGCCTGCTCCCATAATGTTCAAAACATGGCCCAGTTCTGGGAGATTCCAGCCTTATTAACAGAATACCAACTGGCTGGGATTATGCCTGAAATCACCTTGAACATAATCTTATTACACGGTGTTGACTCGTTAATGAGACCAAAAAAGCTACCCTCCTGATGATCCTTTTATTTCATGTCATTTTCTATTTTCCACAGATATAATATACACAACTAAAGCCATTTTGACTCATTCGTAAGTGACTACATCGCATTTCCGAAAATTCGCATATTTTGGAACATGTGCGCCAAAAACCACCATACGACTGTCTACCGAACTGAAAATACGTGCTTAGGCCCAATGACAGAAACGGGCCAATGCCCCGCGAGGACGCTACCATCTACCGACTCGAGTTCCCACAGATTTTAGAAGACGCGGCGTAGCGGGGGCGCCGGCTGCGGGCGACAGCAGGTAAGGTTGTACTTACTCGGCGGATTCAATTTCGATGGCCATGTCGGGACCTCCAAGAGTCTACCTAAGATAATAAACACTTTTTCAAAGAGGCTCAACGCGTATGCCTTAAATGTAACCACGAACCCCGCCAGCAACCTATCCCGCACGACCGCGGAGCCCCGGCGGCCACGTTTGGGGCTCTTCCTCATCGGTGTCCAAGGTTTAAGGACGGATTGTAGTTGTGCAGTAGACATTGTTTGACGTCATAGTAATTGACACGACGCCATGAAAATAAAGGAAACGAGAGGCGTCAAAAGCTCCGCTATAAAATTGAAAACGTGGATTGATAAATGCGTAAATAAATATTAACGCTAAGAAACAAGAGATAAATTTGAACCTTTAGCTATTGAGACTATGGACCGAAAAAGAAAACGACTAGAACTATCGAAACTATCTAAAACCATCGGGACCATGCCATGTAAATACGCCATGCAATAAATTTGACACGCTTGCTTGGCGCTAAACTGCGTATTCTTGTGCTGTGTTTAAGTATTCGGTGGCAATTTGGACTATCCTCGCATGAGAAAGCTCCTTTTCTTCTAATCTGACATTCTTTCGAAAACAATTTTTGCGTTTCCCGGAGCCAGTAGTTGTCACGCTAGCTATCCCGTTACAGAAAGGTGACGGTCTCTCCCTAGAGGTAACTGCCCCCCGTGCTCACCCTGTGCGCTCGAAAAGTACCGGATCGTGGCCCCAACATCCAGTGCCGGCGTTTTTCTGACAGCGCCTTTCTTCGGATTGGCCCGTGACCATGCTGAACATGTATTCCCAAACGTTCGACCCTTGGCCGTGTGCTCATCTACCATCTGGCTTGCGTACTATGTTTAAGAAAACTAGCCCTTCTTGGTAGTAGTCACTAAGGCTTGCTCCCGACCCGCTCGCCCCCTGCTGTCCGCTTGGTCCGAACTCACCAAAAAGTACCTGTAAGTTGTAAATTGGTCCCTTTCGTCGCCGCGTTTTACGCCGGTCTGGCCCTCTCGGACGGTTCTGCGAACAGAACAAACTGCATCCTTCCGGCTTTGAGTGGGCCGAGTTAGGCTGGGCGCCCTCATAGCCCATGGGTGCCACTGTGTAAAATGGGGGGGGGGGGGGGCCGGGCCAAAAGTCTGGTGTAATCTACCCCGAAAACCTGATTGCTCCCATTCTAAGCTGCGTTTCCGATGCTGAAGTAAAGCGGGGATGAGGATGAGATGAGAGGATGGGCGCCATATCCTCATTTTAGTCGACACGCCCTAATTTGTGGTATTTAAAATTGCTTTGCTGCGGAGGAATGTTCCCTGTTCAAGGCGATGTGAAGCCGTCTTACGCTAAACAGCTCAGAATTTTGAGCGATTCACAATTTTTTTTTTAAAGCTTAGTAAGGGAGCACTGGTGACTACTGCTGTACCTGATCGCCTTGCGAGTGTAGGTACCGTGTTGTGGCTGTAGGTACCATGTTGTAGGTGTAAGTACGGCGTTGTAGGCGTAGGTACCGCTTCTTAGGTGTAGGCATCGCGTTGCAGGTGTGGGTACCGCGTTTTAGGTGTAGGTACGGCGTTGTAGGTGTAGGTACGGCGTTGTCGGTGTGAGTACCGCATTGTAGGTCTGGGTACCGCGTTGTAGGTGTGGGTACCGCGTTGCAGGTGTGGGTACTGCGTTTTAGGTGTAGGTGCGGCGTTGTAGGTGCAGTTACGGCGTTGTAGTTGTGGGTACCGCGTCGCAGGTGTGGGTACGGCGTTGTAGGTGTGGTACCGCGTTGCAGGCGTGGGTACCGCGTTGCAGGTGTGGACATCGCGTGTTAGGTGTAGGTACCGCGTTGCAGGTGTGGGTACTGCGTTTTAAGTGTGGGCACGGTGTTGTAGGTGTAGGGACGGCGTTGCAGGTGTGGGCACCACGTTGTAGGTGTGGGTACCGCATTTTAGGTGCAGGTACCGCGTTGTGGTTGTAGGTACTGCGTTGTAGGTGTGGGTTGTAGGATTCAGGTGCCGTTGGCGCTGATCCAGTCGATTAGCCAGCACAGCCACGATTGGGCGACAAATAGATACACTTGCCACTGTTTTGGGGCAACATGGGTTTGCTTTTATCTGGGCCAGCCTCTGCTTTGAAAAGTTGCCGCCTATTGCTGTCACTTGTCCTCTATTTCAATCCAGACATGATCATGTGACAAACGCGTCAAACACACCCAGACTCGTCCAACCTATGAAGGAAATGCTATGACAAGAAATGAGGTGCGTACCTAATATTATTTGGCACACACTGGCTACCATACAAACTTCTCGATGCTTAGCATACGAAAAGTTAAGGTAATTAACTTAAATCTATCCGGCCCATCGCTCCCTCTTTCCTCTTGTACATTGAGGGGCTCACGCCAGCATTCAAGGAGCTTATCCCCCCCCCCGCCCCCACCCACCACCCTGAAAGCATATCAAGTGATGCCTCTACCCACGAGATTTGACTCCCACTATTGTTACGGCATCGCCGGATGCTGACTGCGCATGCGGTCGCCCTGCCAGCCTCCCTGGGACTAAGGGATTGTTCAATTTAAATTAGCCCACTGGATACGCCCCCGGACTGACTTACAGACCTTTAATGCAGGGAGAATTATCGGCCACCTTCCGTGCTGGGGTTGCGTTTGCCGCATCCAGCGCGACCCGAGTGAAAAAAACACGTACAACTCGTGAACAGTCCTTTCCGAAGCGTTGTTTTACGCCAGTTTGCTGACCGTTCTCCCGTCCAAATGTCCCCTGCCCGGGTTGGCCGAGCTGGACCGAGCCGGATGACCTCGACATTGACCGCCTGCTTTTGTCACCAAACCGACCTGTACCGGCCATGGCATCCAGGTCACCGCCCAGCCACACTGAAGCCCCGTAGCTTTACCTGCAGTCCGTGTCGGAACATGCTTATGGGCCGTTAGCAGAGGGAGCAGTCCCTGCACCCTCCTACGCCAGGGCTGCTTTCGTTTTCTCATCGCGTCAGGTCACACCAGTTTCTGATGTAAGACGCCGTGAAATCCTGGACCCTCCGCCACATTGTCGCCGCTCATGTGTCTCAGTGAAGGTTGCGCGATAGGCTTGCTTTCCGAACGCCTCGAACCGCGCGCATCTGTGGCCATGTGCTCGGTGGGTGCGGGAGCGGTCGGGCCGGCCTCGCTCCGCGCGTACTCAGGAAGGGTGCAAGGGATGCAGGGCCGTACGGGGCCCGTGGGGCCGGGTCCCTGAATGTCAGTCGGAGAGCTCTTGCACCGACTGGGGACCTCATGGGACAATGCGAACCTCTGTGTTGACCAGAGGACACCAACACCGGACGCTCAACTCCTTGTCGGACTGAGTCCTGGAGACCCATTTCCTAAGCAGGGACAGTGTCGGTGGCCGCCATTTGCATTTGTTGGGCCCTTGAAGGAAGGAGGTGTCCCTATGTCGGTCATGGGCTCACAGTGACTAACGCGAGGGATTATGTATCATAAGTGGGCCCCGACTTGGCCAGAGCACATTTGCTGGGCAGGGATAGGGACGGAACCCTGAATGTCAGGGGACCTTTTGCGTTGGTCCGGCCCTCTGACAATGACAAAAATTGAGGACTTACAAGGAGAGTCCGCGGGAGACAGTGGATGGCCCCTGTGTTACCTGGGGTCTCCAGTACACAGTGAGGCTTCTATGTCATTTTAGCCAGCGGCCCGATTGGCCAGACTGGAGTCTCTGTGTCCTGTATTGGATCACCTGCGGCGATGGCGGATTTCTGCATCAGTGAGTGGTCCTTGGCCCTCCTGAGTGGGATCGGAATGGCCATTCAGCCCGTGGCCGGGACAGAGAATGTGCCCCCAGCGACACACCAGACGGGGCGGAAGCCCGAGCAATTTGTTCATCCGTGATACAAAAACCTTGCCTCAATCCTTCCGCAAACTACAGGAGGAGAAATGGTGCATGCCCAAGTGAAAGCAAGCAAGCCAAGCCAAGCACCACAGCCGTGTTTTCCATGGCGTGATCCGTCTCTCTATCCACCCCCTCGACTACTTCATGTGAATTTGCTGGTGTCAGAACGTTTACTCGCTTTGTACCGGATCCCCTCTCCAAGCGGATTTTGCACACTCGCTCCGAGAATGAATTTGTCGAGGACCGTCAAAGGGGCACAGCCAGAATAACCCGCTCCCGGTAAGAAACAAAAAGGCACTCGGCTGCCAACAGAATTTAAATTGATTTTATTGGCTTAGAAAGTACCACCGGAGTTGGGTCTCAGGGGAGAAGGGGGGACGGAGAAGGGCTCTAACCTGGTGATGGAGGCGTAGTGGCTTCTTTTTCAGGCACACTTCACAGTTGCAGCCCGCGTCGGCACTGCGATATCCTCGGAGGTAGTCGGTCCACACGCGAAGGATCAGTCACCTGTTCGAGCCGTTATTATCCACTCCGTCGATCCTTCTCCCTGGTCGTCGCAACACGCCCGATCATGCATATTGGAAGGCGTGAAACCAGCATCCGTGACGAAAACGCTTACGTAAGCGTACACCTGCACCAAAAGAGTCGTGTGCTTTTATCCCGGTCCGCCGTGTGCTTCTGCAGACCTACGGCGATGCTGACTCGGGCCGCGGCGCGGTCCGGACGTGCTGTGGTGCGGCCCTCGGCGTCGGTAGCGGCATCCTCGCGGCACCAGACGGCGTCCGCGGCCGGCCAGCCACTGTCTGTACAGCACGACACCGTCGACCGCGAGCTGTTCATCGAGCTTCCCGGCTCCGGTAATCGTCGGCATGGGCTCGAGACGACTTGTGGCCCTGGCCTCCCGCGCCCACCTCCGCCTCATCCTGCAGTTCCGCGGCGCCTCTTGGCAGCACGGGCGGGCTGAAAACGTCAGCCGTGGTTCGACCCAACGGCCATGCAGGCTGGGGCGCCGATGGCAGTCTCGCCTGAGGACGTGCACAACCCGACCGGTGTCCCGGGCGGAGTACGGCTCGGGCTTTGTGTAGCCCAAGCCTCTGTCTGATCCCTTTCATTTGAAATGATCTGTGAAGCATAGACCTAGGAGCAGCGGCGGGGGCTAGGGGGAAGAAATCATTCCCCACTTTTCATGTCAAATGTCAACCCTCATGATGATACAAAGAAAGGATCCATGTCAAAACTGGCATTGCACCTGTTCCTCACACACTGAGGCCTTTTGATACCTATACCATTAAGACTAAAAGGGCGCCAACCTGACGAGAGGATGCTTAAGATGTTTCTTGTGCCATTTTCAGATTGCTGATTTAGAAACAAGTCCTAGTCATTGTATGCCCGGCTCTGTGGTTTTTCCACCAGACAATTCACAGTTCTGACTGGCATTTCCTGGCAGACGAAAAGGCGTACCTGCAGTATGAGCACGTGTCGGAAGACGTGCTGGACCTGCAGCACACGGTCGTCCCGAAGTCCTTCCGGGGGCGGGGCGTAGCGAAACTTCTCGCCAAGGTCAGTGGAAAGGCCTGGCAGCCATCAGCCCACCGCGGACTGGATTGCAGCCCTTTTTCAGTTTTCAGCAAACAATTGTTTTATGTTAAGTATAGTTATCCTTACAGCTTTCCATTCTCGGATTACGATGTTCCATGTTAGTACTCAAACGTCATTGCATTGCACCGCTTTTTGTGGAGCCCAGGTGTACTGTCGAACTCCCGTGGCGAACGACGATGGTGAAGGACATGACTCGCGTATTTGTTGTGTTGGCGCCAACTACCAGTTTGTGTTTGGCCTTTGGGCTTACGCTTCGTACCCTGTCCTGAACACTGCGCACCAAATGCTGCCGTCCGATCTGTTGCCATAGCAACGGCAAACAGTGGTCTTACTAGCGGGCAACCAATGAAGACAAGAACTAATAAATCATGGGCGGTTGGGTGACGTTGGCGGGAGCATTGGTTGACAAGGTGATAACGCCCCAATGCCTGTATCTTAAGCACCAGAAGATCGATTCTGTCCATGTGTGAACAATGGTGCCGGTTGGTTTTAATGCAGATGGTTTTGAACATGTCTAAAATTTCCGTGTCTAAAATTATTTTTTTTAAGTGCAGTGCTTGATTCATTGTTAGTTATTGAAAGCAGTATACTCGTGGAACGGTTCATTTATGGTGAAAATGTCTGCTCCTCGATTTTTGACCGTTGGTGGATTTATTTCTCTGCCCCCTCTGTACATAAATGAATGCCCTTCGCTAGCTCCAACGTGGCAATTACCATCTCAGCTCATCAATTGATATGCGTTGATAGTTTTGTGATTTCACGCAGGCGTTTCTCACAATGTCACAAATGTACATATCTTGTGCCCGCGGCTTTCTCAAAATCTCACAGGTGCACCGTTAGATTCATGTTTGTAGACCGCTTCATCAGCTTGATGTTGTTTGCAGGCTGCCTTTGATTACGTTATCCTGGAGGACAAGAAGATGAAGCTGACGTGCTGGTACCTGCAGAAGTATCTCAAGGATGACCCATCCACCGAGTATGCCAGAAGGCTGGTGGAATAGCCGAGTGTAGATTTATTGGATTCCATGGGGCTGGGAACAGCTGGCAAGAGTGCTAACTCTATTTCGATATCGAAGGGAGCGGTTACATTATTATGGCGCGCTGGACTGAGGGGTGGTGGCGCGCAGGACTGAGGGGTGGTGGCGCGCTGGACTGAGGGGTTGTGGTGCGCTGGACTGAGGGGTTGTGGTGCGCTAGACTGAGGGGTGGCGTCGCGCTGGGCCGAGGGGTTGTGGTGCGCTGGACTGATGGGTGATGGCGCGTTGGACTGAGGGGTTGTGGTGCGCTGGACTGAGGGGTGGTGGCGCGCTGGGCCGAGGGGTTGTGGTGCGCTGGACTGAGGGGTGGTGGTGCGCTGGACTGGGAGGAGGGGGGGGGGGGGGGGGTGGCGTGCTGGACTGAGGGGTGGTATCGCGCTGATGGCATCGTCATGTGGCTCTAATCGGGATGTGAGATGACATGTCTTTGTGTCTCGGGTTAACGGAGTTAAAAAAAAATGGAGGGAACCCGCATCAACGGGCTGGTAGAGGCAACTCGTGCCGCAACACGACCGTGGTGGTTACTTCTCGAGTAAAAGTGAATGCATGAGTGAAGCTAACACTGTGTTGCTGAACTCGTATGCGTTTTTCTTGATTTGTTTCGGAAATCGCCTTTGGTACCAACAATGCTCTCTGCGGCGCGGTAGCAACTCAACAACTCATCCAGTGCTGTGTTTGAAAAGTTAGCAATGGATGGATAAACGATATTAGTGAGGTGCTTTCATATCACGTGTATTGGATTGCTTAAGCTTAATCGTTGGTAAAACATGCGAGGTCCTTCCCACCCGCATCGTCTTGATGATGGCGCGCTGGACTGAGGGGTGGTGGATATGTTGTTTGCACCAACTCTTGAATAGACCATGATATTGGGTATTTTTACGATGCTCATCGGATTCCTTGCCATGCTCACTGGATTCCTCCATATTTGTCATTGGGAAAAACGAAAAGTAGGGAAATATCCTGTAAACAATGTTGTTTGCAGACATGACCATTGTCAACTGGGGTGTTAACGACCGTTAGCACCGGCCTCAGCTCCGGTCGTCAGAAGAATAAATGCAGACCCATGGCTCATGCTCATGACTCACGACTCATGCTTGCCAAGAGCGCCCTAATTCCACCTCTACTTTCTTCCAACTAGCGGGAATCCAAAGCAAATACATGACGACTGCCATCATGCCCTTCAAAAACTAGCGAACACCGGGCGCCTACGACTGACGGCTCCGTCTCGTCACAGATTGTGTTTGAACCTGAGGCTGAGTGCCTTGTCGGTAGCGAACTGGCCGCGCCACTCCTGCCCGTGGGCGTCCATCCAAACGCCCTCGCCGGAGATCTGGCTGCACGTGAATGTGCCTTCGAAGTAGGAGCCATCGGGGAAGCTGTAGCGGCCCGGTCCCGCGTACTGGCCGTCTTGCAGGGTCCCGCTGAACGTGCTTCCGTCTACGAAACAGATGGTGACCGCACCGTCCAGAGTGTCCTCGGCCCAGGTGCCGGTGTACTGGTCGCCATCGCTGGTGGTGTAGGTGCCGTCTCCATGGCGGACAATGCCGTAGCTCTTGGCCTTCTCCTCTGGCCAGATTCGGTACCCTCCGTTGTAGGAATCTCCGTTGGGAAATCGGAATTCAGCGTTGCCGGTCTTTTCTCCAGGTCGCTGCTCGACTGGGTCAGTTTCTGCGTCTCGTTCGACGGATAACATGTTTGCCGGTCCTCGTTCTTTTCCTCGGTGCACTCCTTGTTATCCACATCGATTTCCAGACAGCACCGCCAGAGGCCCCGAACCAGTCGGCCAGAATGCATGAAGGCAAATACCGGTGCAATATGCGAAGGGAATGGGCAGAACGTACAAGCTCTCCTCAGCAGTCAAAATATTGATTTGGCCAGGGCCTCGCCATTAGCGTCAACTGCTGGACCCCGATTTATTTTCTCATAGCTCAGGCAGAGGAATTGGCAAATTTTGCGCCATATCTCGTGCGTGTCTATTGCTGTGTCTTCCTCAATAACAGTCTTCTTTCGCTCTCTTCCATGTATTTACACGTGCGCCACATCCGCCACACCCCATTGCGCCACATCCCGGCGCTCGGGACATGGACACACTCAGCACATTTTGTCATTTTCCTTAATTTAAGACCTATGCAAAGTGAGCACAAAATTGGGTATGAGTGTCAAATGATACACAACATTGTTTTGCTAACACCAGTGATGCTGCTTGGACCGAAGTGATCAAAATACATGGACCATGAAATTTCTACTGTGCCAAGTATATTTTAAGCCACGTGATGCTGGCTTCCAAATACGCGTTATACGCAAGAGGATGGAATTTAGAATGGGCAATCGCCAAAATGCTCGAGAAATTTTATCCCTTATATCTCATCTCAGTAAACCGCAGACCCATTTCTTCCAAGGCTTCATGCATCAACTGATGGGGTTCCACTGACAGAGTAAGACAGTGCCGAATGTTTCCAGTCAAAGTTCACAGCGCTGTGCATGGGCATAAACACCATTCGAGTGCGTCGCAATCGCCGTAATATTATGTTAATATATGATGTTAACCCTCATTCAATAACCAAACGCCGGCTCGTGTATGGTGTTTGATGTCATTAAGTGTGTACATCAAGCAACAACACGGAATGAATGTCCTATGCCAGCTTTGAAGTGACCGACATTTTCCTCTTGGTGGGTCTAGGCCAGTCTTCTACACTTAATAGCGATCCAATCACTACGAGTCAGCTTATTTCATCATACTTGATGTTTGCCTCAATACCATCAAATGTGGAACATTCCCTTTAATGGAACCTTTGCCACATACTCCTCCCCCCAACTTAAACGTTGCTCCTACTTCCCCGACGCGAGGCAAGAGCTACCATTAGGCAGGAGTGCAAGAGAGGCTGGCGGTAATTGCTCATTGTTTGGCTGCATGCCCGTGCCCGCAGTGATCTAAGCTCTAGGACAATGTGCGTGTTAAGGAGACGGGTCATTGCATAGACAGCAGGTAAATATGGCTCAACGAACATCCGATGAGAGATTGAAATGTTGACGTGGGTGCAACGAAGGCCCTTCAGCATTTCCAGGAGCCCAGACAAGGAGTAAAGAACGTTTAGCAGCATGCTAGTTCGGACATCGCGGGAACGCCTCTTCCACCTAGCAATCGTGTAACTAGAGCAATCGGAGTCGGGCAATGGTTTTTGTGTACCTAACACGTTGTTAAGCGATGGGGAGTGCTGCTTCGCATATCGGCAGAAGTACGTTGCAAGTGACGGCAGCTCACTCAAAATCATTTTAATTCCACAATAGTTTGACCAGCGCAGCTATCCAGAAGAAGTGGTGACATAAAGCAGGCAGACGGGCAAAACGATACATCAAGCTCTGCAAGCAGTCGCATGAAACGACTAACAAAGAGACGGGTGCACATTTCCATGCCTGGTGTGAGGCCCAGCTGCGCAGCAGCACATGACCGGCCATGATAAGCAGGGCGTACGAAGGATTTCACTACGGAGGGAGGAAGAGCTCAAAATCTGGAATTGTGACCTTCCAGCACTCGCTCACGCACAAATTCAGGCATGTCATAGCCTTGATGGGGGGGGGGGGGGGGGGGGGCGCTTGCCCTGGGCGCTGCTATGTGCTGGCGCCTCTCATGAAAAGCTCCCAAAGCATGCAACATCAGCCGGTAGTCGATTCCGTATTTTAAGCAAAAGGTCACCAGGTCATCGAAGCGTCAGAATTTACGAGGACAGCCTATCTCAGTCTGGTGTTGTAGAAGAACCAGATGTACGATACGACGCTCTCGAGTAACAGAACACCGACCGAGCAGAGCACACCCGCGTCCGCTATGGTGAACAAGTGCCGTGGTGTCGCCAGGTCCAGCCGCGTCTTCTCCATCGACACCGCATCTGTGGGACAGAATCGCTCAGCCGGGTGTATCGGGCGCCACTTCCGCGGCTCGCGTCTCATGATGCCGCGGTCGAGCACCTGAGGCATGACGTAGCTGATCAGCCGCAGGTAGGGGAAATAAGCCCGGTGGTAAACGGTCGCATGTTCTTGCCCTGCAACGGGCGGTCGCGAGTCGTGGGCAGGGGGCGTAGGTCCTGGCCGGCCAGCAAAGGTTGTACTATCATCTCACGCGCCGCAAGGCTGACGCCCTCGACGTTAAGCTTCCAGCACCTCGCGGACGCCGCATCGAAACTGGCGAACGGCGTCTGGCGGCGAATGATGGCCATCTGAGCGAGCAGCGTCCCCGAGTAGCAGGCGAAGATGAAGCATGACGGCGAGCACACGACACTGACGGCCAGCCGGCAGGAGGGCGCACCGTCCGCGCGCACTACGGCACCCTGCTGGCATGTACACGGCACTGACAGCCAGCCGGCAGGAGAGCGCACCGTCCGCGCGCACTACGGCGCCCTGCTGGCAGCAGATGCCCAGCACGATCAGCGCCCAGAACGATGCATCCTCCTCGGGCGACAAGTCAGCTTCTCGGGCCCAGCGTGTCTCGCACAGACGCAATCGTCAGCGGGCGATCAACCAGAGCACGAGCACGGCGGCGGCCAGCACGGCCAGCAGGGCGTACCAAGCATGGCCTTGCAGAGGCTGCTTGGTGCGGAACTCGCTCAGCGCCTGCGTGTGACGCACGCCAATCACGACGCCGGAGAGGTCCGTCGCGAACGGATGGGAGAAGTCGACCAGCCGGCCCCACGCCGGGCTGTAGATCAGCGTGCCGGCCATCATGTCCGCCTGGCCGGCGTGCAGTTGGTCAACCAGCCGGTCCCAGGCGGACTGGCTGCCGGTCCGGGACAGCCCGCGCAGGGAGTAGCTAAAGCCCAGCACGCTCAGCAGGCGCAGGATGATGGAGCCGACCAGGCCGCCGTTGACCGTACCAGTGCGGTGCGTAATGAACAGGCGGTGTAAAGCCGACCGGCCCTGGCGTCGGTCCTCCGCGTCCTTCGATTCGACGTACACCAGACGGAGGTGGACGCCGCTCATGGCGCGCAGGCTGACGGCGACGCCACCCAACGGCCGCGGGGGGACATATTCAGTGAGCGTAAATCGGTTTTGAACTTGGGTGAGAGTGAAAAATTTCATCGTAAAAAGGCCGTGCGAGAGTGAAAAAATGAATTGACGAAAGATGGAACTTATGAGCTCGTGACTGGTGCTTTAGCAAACAAAGACATCTATTGCAAATTGGGATGGACGTAATATCATAAACCGGCCAAAACTGTTTTGTATTTTAACAGCTTAGGTCATTAAAGTGAAATAGAATACATAAAAGCATAGCAATTTCATGACAGTGTAATGAGCATTCAAAATTATTGACACCAATAATTTGATGCTACACTTTGCATTTCCATTCCACAGCACTTTTAACACAAAACAAAACAAAGGAATTCAATGCCAAAATAACAGCAGAAAATTCAACAGGCATAAATACTCAAACGAAAACAACCCTGGACTCCTACACATCAGCCCATCACCAAGTCAAACACAATAGACATACCTCTGGCTTCTGTTAAGATGGGGTCAGGGAAAACAAACATTTTGTCATCGTTTCCTGCAAAACCCCAATGTTTATTCCCATGAAAGTAGCGCAACTATACCTAACCTAAGAAGGCCTTTCTTCATCTCATCCTGTCTAACCTGTTTGTATCACAGCAGAAGTTGCATCTGATTCTTGCACGATTCCTATTGCCACTTGCCACGCACTTAACCAACTTACCTAACTTAGAGTAGGTGGTGTTGAACATCATCCCAACTCACCTATCTGTTGACAGCAGCTCTTGTGACAAAAACGTGGTAAAGTTAATTTTGAAATCAGGTTATTAATCGAAATTAGATTATTTTAAAATTTTGACATCAGACAAAATGGTCAACACACAAAGCAAAACACTTAAAATCACTTTCAGCAACTTATTTTGATAGCCATGGCTAACCTATGTCAGGGCCAATAATGGGTATGCTCCACAAAACAAACTCTCTTCTCAAAAAGTAACATTCCTTTTACGTAACCATGCCAATATTGCTGCTTGCCTCGTCAGCTGCAGTAAAAGCATGTATTTAGACTTGCTTATTCAGATTTAAGGACAAAATTTGAGATGTTGGCTTTACATTTGAAATGTGATGGTCTAACTATTCGTTACATACTGATATTGAACTCATCTTATACTCGCTTTGCAGCTTAGAGTATCCCTGTGTTGAAGGTATGGTGCATACGGACAGTACAGTCATTTGTCAGTTGGGAAACCATGACAACTATGGAAAACATCTGATTAAAGCAACCATGAGGGACCACTTTAAGAAATTTGGGGCAAACAATCAAGAATATGGAACAAAATAAGCCCATTGCGTGCCTTGTGACATCATAATTTGCCTTATGACAAAACTCGGTGGATTAACACGAATAAATCCAATTTATGTATAAAATACGTGCAAGTTTGCGATTGGAGCGTCTTGCACAGAAATTGGTCAAAATTTTAAGCAACAGATGGTACCTCTAAGGCAATGGAAAAGGAAGGAAGAATTAAGTGGCATCACACTCGTATGATACCAAGAAAAACAAAAGTAGCGAAAATTAATATAAAGACTGGTGCTTTTTTGACAAAATTTTGTTATCAGCTAATTCGACTCGAAATCTGCTAACACAGAAGCTCAAGTAGTGATATTCATCTTGTAAATGCAATTTGGAAGACATTTCTTGACCTTTTTACTCCT